TTTTCCCTACAAAGCCAGCCTCAAGATAAACTTAGAAGTATGTGTGAGAAGAATTCAATGAGAAACATGTAGTTTTGGGTAAACATTTTAATTTCAAAGCATTCTATAACAGCCAGTTTTAACATGGAAGAAAAATAATCAGATCTTTTTATTTCTTTAACATTCAAAGCTGATCATGATACAAGAAATTTATTATCCTTGATAGGATATTGCTTGTCTAAATATTTGATTTAACAATTGATCAGACTCAATATTTCCAGAATAAAGATAGCTTGCCAGGAAAAGTAATATACGCCCACTGGCAGCTTTGATTTGACCAATATTACCAAGTTTTGTCAAAATCTGTCAAGAATTGTATCTTCTAGAGTATTTACTAGTAATTGTAGACATATAAGGATTGAAAAAGGCTAATAAGCTTAAACGCTCATTACATGTGAGTGTACAAAAACACATTATAAATCTTGAGCCTATCCTGACTCTAGGCTGTTACTAATACAATACAATATAGTATAATATGGTAAAACTTAGGTGTGTTTTTATTTATTAAATTTCAGGAAAACTAAACATCCCATTTTATACTCAACAGTAATCCAGACAACTGAAATAAGCTAATGAAGGGATTGTAAATAGGTTTTCTAAATTTTTTATCTATGTGTATCGGATACACTGATAGCATCAATTTGCACCATTCCAATTTTCCCATATACATAATAAAGTTAAAAAGTCTTTACAATCCCTTTAACAGCTGGTGAAATAAATATATTAACATATCCCTTTAATATTTGTATTATCCCTCTGTATTAATGACTCTTTCAATTCATTGTGTCTCTAGTATTTAAGAAAATAAAATTTGTTGACTCACTTGTTGAAAACGAGACGCTTCAATCTGTAAGGCCATTCGAAACTCATCTTCTAACTCTGTATATTGACGACTCAATTGATCAATTCTAGAGAAAAAAAATCAGATCAAATTTAACATACAAGTAATATTACTGTTGGTTTTAAAAAAATATTTCAAAAAGAAGAAAGGAGAGGAGAAGAGTAAACAAGACAGGCCAGGATAAGAAATACAACACAAGACAAGACTTTCTTTAATATAATGGAATCCCATTTTTCGGCATAATTTGGTTTCTGATACAATCTTGTTGATAACGATTTGTTAAAACATGGCAGAGTTATGTTTCTAGACTGAATTTAATATTGTATTTCAACTCAAATATCGTGGTCAAACTTAGGCACCTATACAGGACTATAATACTTTTTATAGTACTTTCAACACAATTTAAGCCTGTTATAAAAATTACCGGAACTTTATTGTCATAATCAACCAATCTGATTATTAGTATTTTCAAAAGACTACTAATCTATCTATAAATAGACTGTCAGACTGGCGCCATGTCGAACACTGAAATGATCACATGACATCAATAATACCGCTTGTCAGGAAGACAGGTCAAAGAATTTACCTATGATAATCACTCACAGTGACAAGCGGTCGGATGGTGAATACTAATTACTTTGCAGTTAGATAATTGGTTGCCAATCATAGTTGTGGGGAACCTAGAAACCAGATCATCAGATTAACTGGTAATTTTACATAATAAATACCTTATTTAAAGTAAAAATTGTCAAGATATCATGGTTTCCAGATTGTTGGCAACTAGTTAAACACAGCTTTATTTTACAGGTATAATGTTCAATAGAAACTATATTTGAGAAATTACATATCATACTTGTTAATTCATAACACAAAAGTATTGTTTCCGGGTTCATAACACAGGTTCATAAAAAAGGTATGTGTCATTAATGGAATCAAACAACGTGCCATGCTTTGAACTGAACTAACTCACAGTTAAAATGGAAGATAATTAAAGACATGGAATTGCTGCAAATAACACAAGTTTGGAAAAATCACTTGAATGCACTTACCAAGATCTTTTTTATTGAGCGCACAGACATTTTGTATAAAGGTGTCAATAAGCTGACCTCAAAATGAAAGCCCTACATAGAAAAAATGCATGGAATTTAAGGAAAATGTATGTTTATTGATTGTTGTGTGATGAATAGAATCTTTAACTCGTGCTATGTAATATCATGTAATATTAAATTTATGAAATTCATTGCCGGATTGAATATTTCCTTCACCAACTCTTAGACACATGAAATCTGGCAACTCACTTCGTAAATTACATTTGACAAAAGCACTCATTTAAGATCCTCTATAAAAGGATTATTTTTTCGCAATGTAAATTTTTTTAACTGTGATAAATGTAATAATGTAATCATAATGCAATCATTACACTATCATTAAGATCTAAAAGGAAACGCTGTCTGGAGAGGGGCTTAACCAATTTCTTGAGATTTATAAATCCTCCTAGTATATGTTGCAACTAGTGTCAGGATTCCTAAAAAGACATTATCAAATGTAAGAGAAGGATGAATTAATCAAGCAGGATCAGTCCCAAAACAATAACATTAATTAAATAATAAAGCATAATTTTATGGTATACCAATCCAATACATATACCGTATATTTCCGTGTATAATGCGCAGGTTTTTACCCTGAAAAGGGATACACACAGAAGGGATGCGCACTATACATAATTTTTGAGTTTTTTTCCACATCGAAAATACCGCGAATCGATGTTGATCATTTGAAGATAGAAATACAACACGTTTTTTTAATCGTAATAAAAGAAGACAGAAATATTAATTTCTGTAAATACAGTTTTTGATTATTTAACATATAAATATATCTAAACCTCAATCATTTAATGGTTAGTTTTGTCTAATGAATCAAGATTCATATGTGTGTGACCTTGTCAACTTAGACCCATTGTCACGGGAAAAAAAATAACAATTGATCTTTAATTTTAAAATGACTTTGGTGATACGTGGAATATGCCTTTAGGAATTAAATATGAGTTAGGACTTAGAAAGCAAATAAGAATGTGAGGATGATCGTATGTATTCTAACCCTTGCTATATATATCATTGAGCTCTGTTAATCTTTGAGTTTGAGTTAACCTACCGTAATTGAATAATGCAATACCTTCAATGAAAGTGTGTTTTTATATTTATCAATTTGTTTAGCCTTTTAAAACAACGTCACTTCTCAATTCTCTATAGGCCAACGACTCAATTGTACAAACAAATGCGTTTATATTATAGATGATATCGTGTCAAATATACGGGATGATAATGGTGTCTGTGATGTGCCAAGTCTGACTTCAAATTTTTCGTAAACAAGGGGTGCGCATTATACACGGGTAAATGGATTTTTTCCGATTTTAATGGGAAAAGGAAGGGGTGCGCATTATATTCGGAAATATACGGTAACAGATTAATGACATAGATGATATTAATTAAAATTCAGTTTCAATTCAATAATTAATTAAAAGTAGTGGGGATTCTTTGTCATTAAAAGGATATTTTTAGCAATATCATGATGTTTCTGTAATATAATTAATTTTTCATCTATAAAGCATTTAATGCAAAAATTAAAAAGAAATTAAGTTGCGAAATAAATAGATTAATTAAAAACAAAAAACTAATTTCAAAAGAGGTTTTATTTTTTTTTTGTATCTAATTTTGCATGGTTGTTTACAATTTCCTCATATTTTTCAGAAATATTTTGATCAGTGAAGAAAAACACCAGTTCTATTTTGTTGTTATTTTGATCAGTGAAGGAAAACATCAGTTCTATTTTGTTGTTTTTTTGATAAGGGGGGGAAAACATCAGTTCTATTTTGTTGTTATTTTGATCAATGAAGAAAAAAACTCCAATTCTATTTTGTTATTATTTTGATCAGTGAAGGAAAACATCAGTTCTATTTTGTTGTTATTTTGATCAGTGAAGGAAAACATCAGTTCTATATTGTTGTTATTTTGATCAGTGAAGGAAAACATCAGTTCTATATTGTTGTTATTTTGATCAGTGAAGGAAAACATCAGTTTTATTTTGTTGTTATTTTGATAAGGGAAGGAAAACATCAGTTCTATTTTGTTGTAATTTTGATCAGGAAGGAAAACATCAGTTCTATTTTGTTGTTATTTTGATAAGGGAAGGAAAACATCAGTTCTTTTTTGTTGTTATTTTGATAAGGGAAGGAAAACATCAGTTCTATATTGTTGTTATTTTGTTCAGTGAAGGAAAACATCAGTTCTATATTGTTGTATTTTTGATAAGGGAAGGAAAACATCAGTTCTATTTTGTTGTTATTTTGTTCAGTGAAGGAAAATATCAGTTCTTTATTGTTGTTATTTTGATAAGGGAAGGAAAATATCAGTTCTATATTGTTGTTATTTTGTTCAGTGAAGGAAAACATCAGTTCTATATTGTTGTTATTTTGATCAGTG